TTCCCTGTTTTGATATTGTGATCTCAGATGATACCAATAGTCTTGCCGTAAAGTACAGGTGTGTATTTCTGGTACATTTGGGGCGGGGGGTGGCCTAGTGGTTAAAAGCTCGTCAAACCGAAGACCCGGGTTCGATTCCCCACATGGGCACAATGTGTGAAGCCCATTTCTGGTGTCCCCCGCCGTGACATTGCTGTAATATTGCTAAAAGCGGCGTAAAACCAATTTCAATCACTCACTCATTAACGTGACACTAAAAACGATGATATGGTCTCTGATCTGTATGGTGATACTGAGTAAAGGCATACATCTCTTGCATGTGAACGTTTTGGTGAGACATAAACTCTGAATGAGCTGTGTATTTGTAAAACTGCTGTTGGCAGCCATTTATTCATTTTTTCGAGAGGTGAGAAATTAATGCAACTATTGAACAGGCACGTATGGGTCAGTAAGGCTGGCAGAGGGAAGTTTTCCAAAGACGTTAGAAATTCCTTTCAGTAGCGATCCGAGTTCAATTGTTCTTTTTCCACAGATATACTCCTCAGTACTCTAGAGGTGACTGACGGGGACGCTGGAGATAACGCCATGGTCGTTGTCTCCATCATCAGCGGCGACGACGCATCTCCGGATGAAAAGTTTCAGTTGATCGGGACTGAACTTCGAACATCCGGGACCTTTATTGACTACGAGGCTCTGAGTTCCGCCAACTTCCTGTACACCCTGACCGTGCAAGCTGTGGATCAGCCAACGACGGAGGCGGCGAAGACGGCTGTTGCTGTAATTGTCGTCACAGTAAGTGAGGCGGTATTTTACATACTCCCGTTTATTCAATACACCTTCATTTTGATGTTGTTATATATGTGAATTGGTGATGATAATTATGATAATAGCACTACAATCAGCTCGTAAGACAAATTTTATCGATTGCGGTTGTCAAATAAACAAAGCCTTCAAATTATGATAATGTTTGTGTTCTGAAAACAACTGATTATAAGGTCATGCGGATTTCTACATTCACTCTTATTTTTTCAGTGCGTCAAGTGAATGATACATGTAACAACTTCTAAATTATATAAAAAGTGTATTGCTACCGGACTTGTTTTGAGGTTCAATGCAAATAGCGGTTTCTTGAATTCTGAAGTATAGCGCCATGAAATCTACCGACGGTTCACGTGTTGTTGAGTCTGTAGGGGGATTAAGAGGATTGACAGTGAGTGAGTGAGTGAGTGAGTGAGTAGATGAGTATGGTTTTAGTCCACTGTTAGCAATATTCCAGCAATATCACGGCGGGGGGACACCAGAAATGGGCTTCACACATTATAATCATGTGTGGGAATGGAACCCGGGCCATCGACCTTAAGTACACCTTGAGGACGTGAAGAGCTGTATGGTTGAGTGATTACCGTAAAGGCCACACAATAGGAGCGCATGCCTTGAAGTTCTGTTGCAGTAATTAAGGTACGTCTTGAGGACGTGAAGAGTTGTGTGATTGGGTGCTTAGCAACCAAGCCACGAAATATGAGTAGTTCTTTTGTTGCATTAATCCAGTACGTCTTGGAGACGTATATACACTTTTATTCCTCCAATGGAGAGTACAAGGGAATGCGAAAAAAGTTAAGATAGTTTTAAGTTAACAAGAGAAGCGCATAGAATATTCATGCATTACAGGTCGCGTAGAGTCCATTAACAACAGTCAGTGTGTACAGCTCAGTCTCCTCGCCAGAGAGCAGTACTGGGGGGCGGCAGGAAAGTAGGCTGCACACCAGGTCCATATCAGTCTTGTTGTGAAGTTGCACGCTCAACTCCACCGGGCCCACGTTGATAATGTCACACCAGAGTTGGTCTCTGCAGCCAGCACAAGCTTCACACGCTGTTAGGACATGGATCAAGGGGTCTGCACAGTTCACACTACATTTATCACAAGGTCCATACACACGGTGAGGACGCCAAAGAGCACACAATTGTACTGTGAAGATGCATTGTTGTTTCAAGGAGGGGTATCTTTTGGCAAGTAGCCAAGCTGGGTGTGGCTCTATCGAGGGGTGTAATGTCCTGAAGTGTCTGAGATCTGGATCTGATGTCATTCGTTGGTTCCAGGAGGACTTCTCGTATTCCATGACAGAGTCTTTTACAATCTTCTTCCAGGAGAGTTGACTCATGAAGATGCCGGAGGAGACAAAATTCTCGAGAAAGTGCCTCAGTTTGTATTTTTCAAGTACATGAACTATATCTGGTATAAATCCTGTTCTTGTCTTCAATATGCAGTTTCTAAACGCAAACAGGCGTGAGATAAAGAGTTTGAAGCAAAGCAGGTGCTTCTTACTGTTACACAAGGAGCCAAGAAAAAACAGCTTCTTTGTGTCAATATGTGATTCTGCCGAGTACCATCCAATCAGGGAGTTACATATGTCAGATCTAGTAGTTCTTGGGAGCCCCTGACACATCTTTAAACAGAATCGTTGTGCCCTTCGACAGTGATAATGTCGCTCTTTTTCAAACCTGACCACAATTCGCACCCAAACAAGGCTTTGGGTAGACACACAGACTTGACGAGATTGGAGCTGGTAATTGGATTCAGCCCACTGTTGTGTAGGCCTGATTTCATCAGCATCATTGCAGCTGACTTCATCTTCGAACTTGCGTTTGATGTTCGAGTGTGGCTGCTAAGGTGTGAGTCGAGAAGAATGCCAAGACGCTTTGTGTTGTCCACTTCAGGTAACTTCTTTCCGTAAAGTTTGATATTGCACTTGTTTTTTTTTTGCGGATTGAAGACCAATACGTTGCTTTTTGAAGGAGAGAATGTGAACTGCCATTTGGCACTGTAGTTCTGGCACTCTGTTACCATAGATTGTAGATGAGCTGTGATAGGGCTGATCAGTGAGATATCATCTGCCTGAGTTGGAGCAGCGAGGTGGAGATCCAGTACGAATGCTCCCTTCTTAAGATGTGATAGGTTTGTCAGAAGCTCGTTGATGTAAACCAAGTAGAGTTTAGCAGAAAGGACGCTACCTTGTCTCACCCCACGGTCGAGTTTAAACCAGGATGAGTAAGTATTATTGGCAAGAACACAACTTTCCATTCCAGAGTATGTGTTGCAGAAAATGCGCCACACACCTGGATGAATGTTCAACTCCTTCAACTTCCAGAGTAGCCCATCATGCCACACAGTGTCGAAGGCTTTACTACTGTCCAAGAACACCACTTTCAGAGAGTCATTCCGTTCCTTGTAGTGGTAGACTGTCTCCTGAAGGAGGAATGATGCATGAAGAGACGAGAGGCTTTTCTGGAAGCCGCATTGCAGAGGATCAGGGAAATCCGTGGAGTCTTGGAATTGTGGGATCCGGTTCGCTATGACCTGTTTGAAAAGTTTTGACATAACAGGCAACAAAGTCACTCCTCTATATGAATCTGGGGACGTCCTTGGTTTGCCTCCGCCTTTGAAGATTGGGATGATGATACCTTTCTTCCACTGGGATGGGATAGAACCTGTAGTGAATATTCTGTTGAATAATTCAGAAAGATAATAATGAAGAGTTGAGCCTCCATGTTTCAAGTGTTCATAGTAGATTCCATCAACTCCACAGGCCTTGTTGTTTTTCAGAGATTTGCAAAGCTTGCTTACCTCAGACTGAGAGGTCAGAAGGCACTTGACGTCGATTATCTTGTTAGAGGTACAGTGTTTTAGTTCAGCAACTCTGCCTTCTAGATGGTCTTTAAAGTTCTGGTCAAAGTGATCATCTACCCCTTTGCTGAATATAGTCTTCATGTGGTCATGAGTGCATGGCAGATTTCCAAGGAATCTGTGGTATGGTTCCCTGATACACTTATGGTTGAAATGTGTGATTTCTTGTTTCTGTTGTTGAGGAGAGCCCAGAATGTTTTCTGGTCAATGTCATATAGTTTATCAAGATTGTTGAAGTGCTCTGTTTCATAAAGTGCTGCAGCTTCTTTCATAGCAGCTCGAAATTTGTCTTTGGATTTCTTGTAGTCACGGAAGCTAGTGTAAGTCATGCCTCTAGGTCTCCCATCTAGAATCCATTTGTGTCTGTAAGATAACATCAGGTCGTGGAAGTCTTTCACTTGTTCCTTCCAGTATGGTCTTAGATAACGCCTGAAATGTCTCACTGGAAGACAGTCAGACGCAGCCATAGTGAGGGCCATAGTAATTATATCAGTAAGGTGTTCAATATCTTCCCTGTCACAGTCTAGAGCTGGCAGCTGCATACCCCAGAGGAGTTAGAGACTGCATGTGTGTAGTCCTTGATTGAGCCGTTCTGGAGGGCTTTGTTCCAAGCTGGTCTACGATATGGGAGGATTTGCAGCTGGTTGACTAGGTAGGTGAATTGCAAGAAGGCATACAACTGGGTGATGGTCGGAAACGTTAGTGGATTATCATCAATCACTTCTGCCGAGTGGATGATATACATAAGCTCAGTTGGCACTACGATGTGGTCAATTGGTGTCTGGGGGCCTCCTGTATATGGATAGAAGGTATTCACTGGGCCTGTGCAGAAGCTCTGCATGTTGATAGAGATTAGTGAATTTTTCTGACAAGAGCTCCCCGAGCATGCTAGCTCTTTGGTCAAGGTTAACGTTTGCTCTTGGGCCTGCAATCTTTGCATTAAAGTAAGCCCTAGGATGATTACCGGGCTCCTTTCAGACAAGGCAGAATATGCTTCTTGGAGTTCATCAAGGCACATTTTGTAGAGATCTATGGATCGATTCGAAGGGGGTAGGTAGATCGATAGGAGATAGAGTGGATGATGATTTGGAACAGAGAGTTCTAGGGCAGTGATTCTATCATTGACAATATCTAGAACCTGGACATATGGCTTAAGATCTTTGTGACATAGGAAGGCTGTTCCCCCACTCCTCTGAGACCTCTGGTTGCGGGGTTCTTGAGCTGGGTTGGCGACTGAGAAGTAGTTTTCATTTAGGGAATCCAAGAATGACAGATTGTGGGCACCAAGCTGGTGATCGGACAAGGCACATATGTGGATATGGTTTTGAGAGAGAGTAGCGTTGAGGTAACATACACTTGACATTACACCACGACAGTTCCATGACATAAGTGAAATGATTGGGAGAGACATATCTAAGAGGGGTTATCCTGGGGAGCATCGTTCATTCTCTGTCTTTCCTCTATTTGTTGCCAAAACTTTTTCCTGCTCAGCCATGGCTTGACAATAATGTTTTCTGGCCAGAAATCAACGTTTTCAACAAGTAGCCTATCTTGAGCGAGAACATTTATTTGTGCAGCAGCGTAGCGTTTCTCGGATTTGATGAAGATTTTAAGGTGCGTCACAGTTACTCCCCTCTCCACCATATAAGTTTTGATCGATTGTTCAAACTCCAGCCACCAGGTTTGCACATACAATAGAAGCATATTTGTAGAAGCAAATATGAAAGTCGACTTGCTTTGTAGGACACGAAGTAATGCAGTTTTTCATGTTTTAAGGTCCTACCTGACAACGAGTTTGCGCCCGTGTGGGCAGCCACGCCCATGGAGCTGACCATTTATGAATCATCACCCCGAGGTACTGTTATAGGGAGCTACGAAGCAACTGATGAAGATCTTAGCACCCATGGTGATGTCACCTACCAAGTTGTCTCCCTTGTCACTGGTAAGACTTGTTTTGCATCATCCTTCTCAAGTCGCAGTCAGTGGAAAATATGTGGAAAAATATAAACCAACGTTTTGAAGTAAAAGGAATATTTTTGTTCATGATGTTTGTCTGGTCCAGACTCGATTATTTACAGACCGCCGCCATATTGCTGGAATATTGATGAGTGCGGTGTTAGAACACAAACAAACATAATCTGTAGACAAAATTTTGATTGGTGTTGTTTCATAAGACATTTGTGAGGCTAATCCACCTATCGTAGAACAATATGTTCTAATGTTTGAAATCAATAACCTTTTACAGACCAAGGAGTTGACGCCATCGGTACCTTCATCTTGGACTCGGGAACTGGGCAGCTGAAAGTGGCCTCCCCTGTTGATGCAGACACACTGACAGGTGGCGCTGCCTTTTACGACATAACAATCCAGGCGGCGGATTGCTGTTCAAAGAACGTTCAGGAGTCATTCAAGATCTTCATCATTGGGGAGAACGACAACGCTCCCTCATTTTCTGAGGTTTCCTACAAAACTGAATTATCCGAGGATGCTGTAATAGACAAGGTCGTCCTTGACCTTCAAGCAACTGACGCTGATGGGGACGATGTGATGACGTACACGTTGCTCGGAAACGGGAATGAACTCTTCCTATACATATCGCCTGCTCTCATTGTTTTTGGGCCTTTAGATTATGAAACGAAACGATGTTTTTCTCTTACGTTAAGGTAAATGTATTTTGTTATTTTTATCAAATATACATGTATCAGATACATGCCTGAATAAGTTTCTAAAAGGTTTTGGTCAAGTATCTGTTTTCTGTATAATGAGCCTAGAATTTAACAGCTGCAAAATGGGATTAATGAGGGATTTTTAAAATTCAGAGCGAGTGATGGCAAACACGAGACCGATGTCCCTGTCATCATCAACATCAATAACGTCATCGACGAGGTACCCGTTCTCACTGTGAACACGCCTATCTCCCTTCCCGAGGAACAACCTGTAGGGACGCCGCTAGGGGGCGTGTATGACGTCACAGATAGGGACGAGGACGACAGCCTCACCTACAGCCTCGAAGGTGCTCGCATGTTAACAAAGGAATGTTTTTGTTTCACAAAAGTGTTGCTTTAATTGTTAGTCGGGTTAGCAAACGGATACAGATGTAAGAACTACAGCAAAGTTTGTTTTGCTTTCACGGAAATTCCTTGCATTTTTCCAAGGTAGTAACCAAACGTCTCAATCTAAATTGTCTGAGTATACAAATGTTCCGAGAACGTCTGTTTTTAAGAAAGGAGTGTAGGCTCTGTTCTTGTTCATGAAAGTAAATTGTTGTCAATAAAATAGAATGACCCCGAAAAGATGTGTCCAGTGAATGAATCCGATTGCACATTAGGAAATCGAACATGTTTGGGCCTCTTGTATTAGATCTACGATACACACTTTCGTTGACAAGTTCACTTGCTTTGTATTCTAAAAACGACTTTGTTAAGACCATGTTCTTAAATTCTCTCAAAATGCACGTTTGTCACTGTAAACTCCTTCTCCCGTGAAATTTCAAAACTGGAAAGCTAAACTTTGGAATGTGTTTATTCTTATGATAACTACATATTTTTTTCAATTTGTTAGATTTTAGTGTTGTGCCCAGGTTTAATGCAGATTGTATTGGAATCAGTGTCGGCAACAACTTTGGTTCAGTGGCTGTCTATGTGTTTTTAATACTATTGACTCCTCATCCAGGTGAGCTACAGCTATTTTTAGATTTTGAAGGGGCGGTGAGGTATCCTAGTGGTGAAATCGTTCGCTCGTTACGCCGAAGACCCGGGTTCGATTCCCCACATCTTACAATGTGTGAAGCCCATTTCTGGTGTCCCCCTCCGGAATATGGCTAAGCTAAAAGGCGGCGTAAAACTAAACTCACTGACTCAGATTTTGAAGATTTCCCTTCTGGTTACGTCAGGGACGGAGAGCTTCTACTTCAACATTGACTCCACAACGGGCGTCATCAACCTGTCCCAGAGAATAGACCGAGAGGCTGGTGGTGCATCCATCTCAGACGTGACCTTGAAGGTGACAGATTCCAGAGGCAACGTGGCGTCGCAGACTCTCACTTTCGACATCATCGACGTCAACGACAACAGTCCTCAGTTCAGCAGCGACGTGATCCACATGGAAGTCACCGAGAACACTGCACCAGGTTGTACAACATTGTCAGTCAACTCAAAGATGCCCGAAACATGCTCAGAATACTTTTTTGTCTTGAGTTTAGATTCCCTGTTTTGATCATGTGATCACAGATGATACCGAGAGTCTTGCCCTAAAGTGCAGGTGTGTATCTCTGGTACATTTGGGGCGGTGGGGTGGCCTAGTGGTTAAAGGCTCGTCACGCCCAAGACCCGGGTTCGATTCCCCACATGGGCACAATGTGTGAAGCCCATTTCTGGTGTCCCCCGCCCTGATATTGCTGGAATATTGCTAACAGCGGCGTAAAACCGCTAAAACGATGATATGGTGTCTGATCTATATGGTGATACTGAGTAAAGGCATGCATCTCTTGCACGGGAACGTTTTGGTGAGACATACACTCTGAATGAACTGTGTATTTGTAAAACTGCTGTTGGCAGCCATTTATTCATTTTTTCGAGAGCTGAGAAATTAATGCTACTATTGAACAAGCACGCATGGGTCAGTAAGGCTGGCAGAGGGAAGTTTTCCAAAGACGTTAGAAATTCCTTTCAGTAGCGATCGGAGTTCAATTGTTCTTTTTCCACAGATATACTCCTCAGTACTCTAGAGGTGACTGACGGGGGACGCTGGAGATAACGCCATGGTCGTCGTCTCCATCATCAGCGGCGACGACGCATCTCCGGATGAAAAGTTTCAGTTGATCGGGACTGAACTTCGAACATCCGGGACCTTTATTGACTACGAGGCTCTGAGTACCGCCAACTTCCTGTACACCCTGACCGTGCAAGCCGTGGATCAGCCAACGACGGAGGCGGCGAAGACGGCTGTTGCAGTAATTGTCGTCACGGTAAGAAAGGCGGTGTTTACATACTCCCATTTATTCAATACACCTTCATTTTGATGTTGGTTATATATGTGAATTGGTGATGATAATTATGATAATAGTACTACAATCAGCTCGTAAGACAAATTTTATCGATTGCGGTTGTCAAATAAACAAGGCCTTCAAATTATGATAATGTTTGTGTTCTGAAAAGAACTAATTATAAGGTCATGCAGATTTCTACATTCACTCTTATCCTTTCAGTGCGTCAAATGAATGATACATGTAACAACTTCTAAATTATATAAAAAGTGTATTTGCTACCGGACTTGTTTTGAGGTTCAATGCCAATAGCGGTTTCTTGAATTCTGCGGTATAGAGTCATGAAATCTACCGACGGTTCACGTGTTGTTGAGTCTGTAGGGGGATTAAGAGGAGTGACAGTGAGTGAGTGAGTAAGTGAGTATGGTTTTACGCCACTGTTAGCAATATTCCAGCAATATCACGGCGGGGGACACCAGAAATGGGCTTCACACATTATAACCATGTGTGGGAATGGAACCCGGGCCATCGACCTTAAGTACACCTTGAAGACGTGAAGAGCTGTATGGTTGAGTGCTTACCGTAAAGGCCACAAAATAGGAGCGCATGCCTTGAAGTTCTGTTGCAGTAATTAAGGTACGTCTTGAGGACTTGAAGAGTTGTGTGATTGGGTGCTTAGCAAACAGGCCACGAAATATGAGTAGTCCTTTTATTGCATTAATCCAGTACGTCTTGGAGACGTATAGGCTGGGTGTATGTGTGAATCGCCAGTGAATCAAATAAGATGCCTAGCTGCATGCATGCAGAACATGCTCTAACAAACTCCAGCCACCAGGTTTGCACATACAATAGAAGCATATTTGTAGAAGCAGATATGAAAGTCGACTTGCTTTGTAGGACACGAAGTAATGTAGTTTTTGGTGTTTAAGGTCCTACCTGACAACGAGTTTGCGCCCGTGTGGGCAGCCACGCCCATGGAGCTGACCATTGATGAATCATCACCCCGAGGTACTGTTATAGGGAGCTACGAAGCAACTGATGAAGATCTTAGCACCCATGGTGATGTCACCTACCAAGTTGTCTCCCTTGTCACTGGTAAGACTTGTCTTGCGTCATCCTTCTCAAGTCGCAGTCAGTTGAAAATATGTGGAAACATATAACCCAACGTTTGGAAGTAAAGGAATATTTTTGTTCATGATGTTGATCACTGGATTGTGTGGTCCAGACTTGATTATTTACAGACCGCCGCCATATAGCTGGAATATTGCTGAGTGCGGTGTTAGACAACAAACAAACATAATCTGTAACAAAATTTTGATTGGTGTTGTTTAATAAGACATGTGTGAGGCTAATCCACCTATCGTAGAACAATATGTTCGAATGTTTGAAATCAATAACTTTTTACAGGACCGCCTCCGTGGTGTAGTGGTTAGAGCGTCCGCCCGGAGAGCGGAAGGTCGCGGGTTCGATCCCCGACTGCGTCATACCAAAAGACGTTAAAATATGGTGCTTGTTGGTCCCTGCCTGGCGCTCGGCATGAATGGGTACAACAAGGACTGGTCGGCTCGGAGTCAGTATGATGTGTCTGAGTGGGGTATTCATGCTTCACTGCGGCGTGGTATCTCAGTGGGCTAGCACTATAAAACCAGCTTAAGTCTGGGCTAGTACAAGCAGCCGCACATACACATACACACGCATGCACGTCGTCATATGAGCGAGATATTCTCAAGAACGACGTTAAACCCAATTTCACCTCACCTCACCAATAACTTTTTACAGACCAAGGAGTTGACGCTATCGGTACCTTCATCTTGGACTCGGGAACTGGGCAGCTGAAAGTGGCCTCCCCTGTTGATGCAGACACACAGACAGGTGGCGCTGCATTTTACGACAT